GCTTCATGAAATAGCTTTCTTGTATTAAAGTAATTACATCTCTTGTTCTTGCTTTTATCTCATTCTAAAAATACTATCAGAGGTTACAAGTGAGAGGCGGGGAACTGATTTCTTGTGTAGGTTTGAGGTAGGAACATTTTAGAAGAATTTTGGAGAGAGTGATATATCTTAGCTGGCAACGTAGGATTCTATTTTCCTCCCTTTTATTTCAATAATGATAGTCAGTCCAATCCCAGAAGATTCTAGTTAGTGTATAGCAAACCCCAAAATTAAACATAGATGACTGTTGTGATTCAACATTATTAGGGGCCAGAGGGCCTTTTAATTTCCTCATCTGTCTTACATAATAACAGACAAAATTGGGACTATTCATATCTCTGGGCTTGAGAGTGGGGGGGGGGGGAGGAGGAGTTCCATAAACTAGGATGGACAAAGTACATCTCTTCCATCTTTGTGCATATAATAATCTTGCTGCCATTACCATATACAAAATTAATCTTCCATGAGTATTTTCTAATTAAATATTCATTACTCCAAATTTTAAAAAAAATCTGATTTCTTTGCAATGGTAATCTTTAACATTCTTTGTATAATTATATATATTTGTATCCAGAATTTCATGGCTTTTTCACAAATCCACCATGCATGGTAAAACGTCCCTTTGTGTTTTTCACCTTTGACTTGAGGTACTTTTATGCACAGTGATCATGCTAGTCTGTATTTATATGGAAATAACTGATTAGGGCAACGGTTCTCAACCTATGGGTCGGGACCCCATTTGGGGTCGATAGACCATTTCACGGGAGTTGCCAAGCAAGGCTGTCCGTCATTTTTTCCCCCTTTTCCGGCGGGTGCCTTACCTCCCTTGAGCTGGGCCATCTGGTGGTCGGCCTGCTCCGTCTCTGCCGCTTGCCAGCTACGCCTCGGCCGGCGCAGGGGGCGGAACCACACATGCGCGGCGCTCCCGGGCAGGGAAAGTCCTCGACTTATGACCGGTTGGGTAGTCCTCGACTTACAACCGGTTTAGTCCTCGACTTATGACCGGTTTAGTCCTCGACTTATGACCGGTTTAGTCCTCGACTTACGACCGGTTGGGGGTCGCGGCATTAAAAAGGTTGAGAGCCACTGGATTAGGGAGTTAGAACTGAAATTAGAAGAAACTTCTTGGATGAGACGTGAAATATTTTCAGAGAAAAAACTCAAAAGTCCAATTGCCTTTTGGAAAAAGCCCCTTTAGGACAACTGATTAGGAAGAGATACTCTATGAGAATTAAGACACATGGAATAAGGAGAATTATTCTGTTCCTTTCCATCTCTCTCCCCCCCCCCTCCAAATATGTCTTATCTCTGTTGATCAATAGAAACAGGTTTCATTTTTCTAAAGCAGTTTTCTTCAGGGTATTTATTTATTTATTTATTTATTTATTTATTGTATTTATATCCCGCCCTTCTCCTTTCGGACTCAGGGCGGCTGACAAATGATAAAAAGCTAACATATTACACCTAGTTAAAATTTGATTAAAATGAAATATTTGAGAATGTCAAATTTAAAAGTAATTAAAACCCCTATAAAATCCCCTAGGCCAGTCCCGCTTGCT